GTGTCAACTTGATTAGATTAAGGAATACAGAGATACCTGGTTAAACTATCTTTTCAGGTGTGTCCATGAGGGTGTTTCTAGAAGAGATTAGCATGAGAGCCTGAGTGGACCAGGTGGGAAAGATCTACCTTCAACATGGGCAGGAACCATCTAATTAGATGGGGGCCCAGAGACAACAAAACAGAGAAAAAAGGCAAATTGCTCTCTCTATCCACCGGAGCTGAGATACACTCTTCTCTCCTGTCCACGGACATCAGAGCTCAAGACTCCTCAGCTTTGGGTTCCAGGACTTACACCATGAACACCATTGACTTCTCTAGTTTTGAGGCCTTCAGACTTGGATTGAGCCACGCTACCGGCATCCAGTTTGCAGACAGCCTATCGCAGGATTCCTCAGCCTTCACAATCACATGAGCCAGTCCCCTAATAAATCCCCTCATATATTTACATACATATTCTAATGGTTCTATCCCTCTAGAGAACCCAAATACATATACACACATCTCCGTATACATGCACACATACATGTATAAAAGCATGTATATTTTTATATACACATATTCTCCAAAATATGCTTCCTGGTTAATCCTGATCATTCATTCTAACTAAGAGTTTCACTAAGGGAAGGAACAGGTCAGTAGGAGCCTGTTCGGTAGAAATACTAACATAGGAGCATTTGCCACAGGACTTGTGACCTACTGCTGCTGTGCTTTGATTTATCTTGCTCGTCATGCCTACTCCAGGCAAGTAGAGTGAGCTCACTTTTCTGAGATCCAGGGAGAAGGCAGCCAACACAGATGGAAGGGTTCCTGTGCTGTTCAATAAGGTAGCCACTAGCCACATGGTTACTTAAATTTAAATTAAATTAAAATTTCAGTTTCTCGTTTCACATCCTTAATAGCCATATGTGATTAGTTATTGGATGGTACAGATATAGAACATTTCCATCATAGCAGAAAGTTCTATCGAACCGCTGTGGCTGATGATTCATTTTCACCTACAATGTGCCAGGAACTGGTTAAACACTTTACAAGAAAAGTGCTAAAACATCAATGATGGGAGTTTTACTATCCCTTGAAAATAATTACATAACTGCATGATTAACTGAGCTTTTACTCTGGACAATTAGAGAAAAAGGGTGTCTTTTATTCCCAAATGAAAATTTGAGTCTTCACACTCTTTTCCAGCAATCGAAAGAAAATGAAGATAGTATTTATTGGTTACCTGTGTTGTTATCAAACACTCATTTCCTCTCAAATTTGGAGATCTGAGTTTCTCTTTAAGGCAGGGGGTCAATAAATCATGAAATGCCACACCTAAATTAGAACTAAAAGTTGAGACTTTAATCTAGCAAATGTTGTTTTTGCTCATTTCTTCCCAATACCTTAGACCTGTGACTAATTCAACTGCAGGAAATGGTGTGATAACTACAGTTACTTAGCTCCACTATTTCTTTCACCACTTACCTGAGTGAGGAAGATCTGCCTGGATAATGTAGTGCTTTGTATTAACTTTTCTCCAGGGACAAGAGAGTACCCACACTGCCTTTTGTCTTGAAAATATGAGTAGAGATGATAGAGATGGATTGAGGAGGATATTCTGCAAAAGGACGGAACCCTCTCTGAGAGGCATATTCAGATAATGTCACAACTTTAGTTGGGAAGGGGGTAATATTTATATCTGGCTAGGTCAGCCCCTCAAGAGCTTGGGCCAGTCGTTTGCCTTCTCTCAGTCTTGGTTTTTCCATCTGTAAAACATCATGACTGGAGTGGATGATTACAAAGTTTTCTGGGATTCCAATGACTTCCCAAAATGAATATGACCCATGTTAACTCCCGCAGTCTTTTCTAAGACTTAATAAATTTGGGGGACAAATAATGCAGTATCCTACCCACAGGCTTTATTTTAAAGCTGGCAAATCATTTGCTGACATACTAAACTCCCAGAGTCATAAGCCAGCATCCTGGAGGGGTTTTCAGCAGTGATTGGAAACCACCACTCAAGGGCCAAGCTGGTTCACCCCTTATTTTGATACACCCAGGAGTTAAGAATGATATTTACATTTTTAAGTGGTTGAAAAAATAAAATGAAAAGTAATATTTCATGACATATGAAAACTATATGAAATTCAAATTTCAGAGTCTATAAACAAAGCTGTATTGGAATACAACCACATCCATTCATTTATGTATTGTCTATGGATACTTGGGTGCTAGACAGCAGGGCTGAGTAGTTGTTACAGAGACTGGCCCACAAAGCCTGAGGTATTTTCTTTCTGGCCCTTTACAAAGTTTCCTGCCTGGGGTGGAGAGCACAAACTCCAGAGCCAGGTGGCCTGGCAGCATAGCTCAGCTCTGTTCTCTCAGCTCCTCTGTTCCTCAACTGGAGAAGGATGATGATAATAGGACCTGGCTGATGGGGTTTGATAAGGATTAAGCAAACATGTAAAATGCTTAGAAGAAGGTCTGGCACTTAGGAAGCACTATATATTTGTTGGTTGTCATTATTAGTTGCCACAATTTTTTTCATAAACTAGATACAGCAGTGGCTAACCAAACTGTTAGCAATAACTGTAAGAATTTCATTTGCAGTCCTTTAAATTTCAATTCTAGCAATGAGGCAGTAGGAAGATACCTAAGGACAACTGAAGTGACAAGTAGCATAGTCATTTATCCACTAAGCTAAGTTTGCATTACTACAAATATTTTATATGCTACATACTTCTTTCAGGCTTGAGTCTTAAAACAGCTGCCACTCAACTTTAAGTTCTGCCCTGACCACCTATTCCTTATAGTTGGTTACCTCTTTCTGAAGAAACAGATTCAAAACAGAGGCCAAGGGACTCATAAAATGCCTAATCTACCTTGATGATTGCTACAGTGTTTGGAAACACTAACCTGCCTCCTGAATCAAACACAAAACATGTGACATATAGCTTGCTATAAGACAACAGGGACTACTAGAATTTTTTTCACGATTCAGGACTTTCATTTTTGGAGTCTGGGTATTCAGAAAGAGGACTAAGAGGGGAAGTTACCTAAGAGGGAAAACAATGAACCTAATGAGAACATAGACCAGGAACTTGGAATGGAGGAACCTCACCCACTCACCAAGGAGTGCAAGTGTAGTATCACACTCTGGCAGGTGCTCCAATATTTATTAAATGTTGATGACTCTTTCAATGTTTCTGTGCAATCTTTCACAGCATATACTGTGAATCTTATGAATGCATTTCTCAAAACGTTAAAATTCAGAAAAACATTAAGTCTAGTCCTAACAGAGAAAGGCAAGCAAGCAATTTTCTGTGTGACTGCAATTACATAAAACAAAACCGAACAAAAATCTCACATCTGAATTGCTTCAGACTGTTCAACTGGGTGAAAAGGAAAACTGTGAAGTAAAGAAAAACGTTTTCTGAATAACCTAAAGTGGAGTTCTGATTATAATATATAATACCCATACATTCTTAATTTGTTCTAAGTTCTTCTTGTGTGAAAAATAGAATAATTTTGGAAAGGGGGATTGCTTTGCCTGAATCCTCCAGATAATTCAAACAATTCATTTCCCTAAGAGCGATCTGCTCGAGGCTGCCCTCCCCCGACCGCCTGTGAGCTACACCCAGCCTAACCAGGCGGTGAATTGTTCCTGGCAAGGAAATACGCCGTTGTCATTCAGTGAAATGTGCAACCGCAAGCCCAACGCCCCTTTGCTAACACTTCCTGAAGTATGTTCCTGTTTTCCGAGGCCACTTTCATATTTTGATCTTTCCACTGCTTCACCTACAGGCATCTAAGAGTTGCCCTAATGCATTCAGCCCCTTTCCCGCAACACTGCTCTCTGCCTATAGCGGGTCCGCCCTGTCCAATGCAGTTGCTTCAGATAACAAATGTGCCAGAAATCAGCCAACTAGGAAGGAAAAAAAAGGATTGGCGGGGCGCAGTAGCGGTGTTGGAATGTGCCATCAGTTTCGAAGGGAGGCAGGTCCCTGGTGTGAATTGCGTCGCAGGTCGTAGGCCAGCACCGGACCTGCGACCGCGCGCGGCCTCGGCCGAGCAACCGCAACGAGGCGGAAGCGCGCAGGCAGGGGCGCGGCGGCCGGGCGCGGAGCGGGTGCGGGAGGCC